AACCTGTGCTAAACGGTTATGTTATCTCCTATTCTGCCCTGGCCTATTCACATTTCCTATATCCTCCAATGACGCCTTCACTGTCACAATATTTTACTTGCTTAATCCTTGGTTAATACTCATGGATCTACGTGACCCTGGAACATTTTGAAACAAAATTTTCGCAAAATAACTTTAGACAACCCTGCTCACATGCCTGTGTATTCTCATTATTTACTGTAAGCTTGCACATGTTAGTTGTGTTCTGTCTTCCTGTACACATTTCGTGGCATAACAGTGGTGACAGGGTCACATTGACCCTTCAATAGCAACGACGTCGGTAAGTAAAAATTATATGTTTCAATCTATAGCTCAAAACAATTATTATAATAAGAGATACTCCATTATAGCATTGGTTGTTAGAGTTTTTTGTAGGTTATATTTTTCAATTCTGGTTTTTTTTGCCACAGATAGAGGCAATAGAAATATTCTTGCGGACAAAGAGATTCAGAGTACTTTGCTCGATGATGATGATTTTGAAGAGGATGTTTCCACAAATTTAGATGCTTCTACCTCTGTTTCCTCTTTCGCTCCTGTTACTGCTGATAAAAGAGAAAATGCTTTGTCTCGTATACTAAATGAAGCTGACTGCAGTGATATAAATTCTAGTGATGAAGAAATATTTAGTGATCACAACAGTTCGACTGATATTGAAGAGGAATTAGACGAACAGATTTCCCCCCTTCCAGATCGATCTAACTATTACTTGGAAAAAATAACTGTATGTGTTTGGCCAAACAACCTCCAGTCGGAGTTGACGCATTGGACCCAAAGTGTGCAAACTTCTCTTTTGCTAGGGCTATTTGACGGTGGCCTATGGTGATATTTTACGTGATGCTTAACATTACAGGTGTAAACAGTAAAATTGTTTATGATGAAGTATCTGGAAAGTCAATAAATCGACCAAACTACCTTCGCCGGCTTGGTATAGAATTATGCCTACCTTATGTTCGTCAGCGAATTCATAATGAAAAGATACCCCGACAATTGCGTATGATAACATCAAGGGTGTTCAAAGTGCCTCTGCCTGAAAGACCTGCTCCAGTTGTTACTAATGTTGCATCTAAAAGGAAGCGTTGCAGCATTTGTCCTTATAAAAAAGATCGGAAAACTAACAGTGTTTGTTCCTCTTGCAAAATTCCGATTTGTAACACATGCTCAATTATTGTATGTCCAAACTGTTTAGATAACAAGTAATTGTGAATCAATTAAAGCTAAATATCTATCTTTCAATAAATAGTATGTTTTATGTATATATATTTTGTTATAAACAAAATAGAAATTATTTTTATGAGTGGGTCAGATTGACCCTTGAATAGTCTTTGAGTAAATTTTATTTGTAGTAGTAACCAAGGTTTAAGTAAATGTGGGACAGTGTGCCCTTTTTTTAAATAAAAGCGGCTTTAATGAGAAACCTCCGCACTCCAGTCTCTCTCTTGCCCCGTAAGATCCATCTGCCCTCTCTCTTGTTCACATATTTCACTCGACCCCTGCCACCCCATCTGTGCCATCCGAGGCGTTATTGGCCCTGCCCTGCGTCTGGGTGAT